TCCTCAGTGCCCACTGAGCTGCAGGCAGGGATGGGGGGGGGGGCAGGGGGAGCATGGAAGGTGGGGAGGCGGGGGCACTCAGTGCATACCCCCATACACCCCTGCCATTTCCCCCACTTTCCCAGGGATGACCACATCGGCGCACTGCTGGCCTTGCGAGGGGATGCCAGCCGGGACATGAAGCAGACCATCATTGAGACACTGGAGCAGGGCTCCACACAGGTGAATCCAAACTATGTGCCCATCTTCAGGGAAATCATAGTTCCCAGTCTGAACGTGGCCAAGCTCCTCAAGTAGCCTTTCAGTCTCTGTCTGACCTGTGGTTGGGGCACATCTTCATCCCACGATCTTCATTCCATGTGTCACATCCAGTGTGACTCATGGTGCCGAGAGCAAGGCTGCCTGACCAACAGGTGCTCTGGTGGCGCGTTCTGACCCTCTCATCTTGTTGTGGCCCAGCTTTGTGGGCAGGATCCTGGCTGACTTCTGGTTCACCTCTCGTCTCCCTTCTGTAGTGTCAGCACTTCTGATGCTGCTGTTCAATAAAAGTAAACGCTGTGGGAAATGAGTTTCCCAGTTGTTTCTTACTAGTGGTGACCACAGGGGCCCAGACACAGCATCTGAAGGCGCCCCCATCTCCCTGCCGCCCTCACTCGCCTGGACAGGTCCCACGGGTCTCCTTGTGGCCCGCTGCTCCACACCCACACAGGCAGCCCTCGGCGGTTCAGATTTATGGGCCTTGCGTATTCCTGACTCAGGGTCCCTGAGACCCTTTTTCTGTTACTCAGCTGTCTCTCCATGGCTGCCTTCAGTGGTAGCTTTGTTTTACACATTAATCTTCATACCAGGTTCATGGAAGGGTCCATCCAGGATACATGGTGAGCCCTTGCGTGTGCCTCCCCAAACTTTCTTCACCCTCCATCCCAGTGAGCGAGATTTCTTAGGTGAGTGGTGCCTGGTACAGCTGCACAGTGCTGACTAAGACAGGAAGGAGAGGAGTTTGCCTGTTCCTCTGTCCACCCTTGATTCAGGCTCCCAGGGACTGGCCAGTTCAGGCTGGAGGGTCGTCCCTCAGGAAGACGTCTATGCTGCTCCCTCCCTTCAGCACTGCTTGTGCACAGTGTCGGGCTGCTCGAAACCTCTGAGTGTGTCCCGACAGGCTGGTTTCCTCCTAAGACATGTTCCCGATGGCAAAGTATGTTGCGCTTTCACCCTCACGAGACATGAAAAATTCACAAATAGGACTTTTTCTTGAAAAAATCAAAACTGAAGTAGAGTTGACATTCGTTAACCAGTCACAAGTTAACTCGGGTCTTTTTCTCAAGGCTAGTTCTGGTTTTAGCCCCAGGCTCCTCCCCCTCCCCACTTGATGTTTCAGGTGCTTCATTCTCCCACTTAGGCTGGATGGGCACTGCTCCCATCCTTCCTGGGCCTGTCCTCTCTGTGCTGTGACGAGTCTAAGGGAGTGGTAGTGTTCACCTGTCTCTCCTGGAGAAAAATCAGTTTCCAGGGCCCAGGCTGTGCCCACAGCTGTGTGTCCAATGCTGGTACCAGCCAGAAGTGCCCTCCCTCCCTCCCTCTCTCATGTGCACACAGGTCAACGTTAACTCCAGCGCCAGAGCAATGTCTGCCTTCAGGAGCTGCTCCTTATGTTCTCTTTGATGTGATTTCTCATTGATAACGTTTGCACCAAAAAAAATGCCTTGAAATCTTTTTAATAGATTTGATCAATCAGTTGTGGCAGGTTCTATGATGGGCCCCCTGCGCAGACACTGTCAACAGCACATTGAGGGCCACTGTAAGGCACATCGATTGTGATTAGGGTTACACAAAGTTTGACTAAGATCATTTTCACAAAATTAAATTCACAATTTCACCACTCATAACTTACACATTTCAATTCCAATTTCAATGAAATTCTTGCTTTAAAAATTCTTTTCATAATAGATCGATGGTATGCAGTAGGTGAGCATTGTGACAAAATTATTTTCAAGATACAGAAGTGAGAAGTAGCGACTCCTAAATTTGTGTGCTTTATAGCCTACCACAAAGTAGGCCAAAGTTCAGTATTTAAATAAATAGAAATTCTTTCCTAATAAAAAAATTTTACAACAGTTTTCCTAAGGAAATACATTCATAAGACATTGTTTACATTCTGTTTTACAGTGACAAGAACAGCTAGGATTCTCATTTATGAAATGTATCCACAGTACTAGGGTTTATAACACTGTGTTAACAGATGGAGGTGTCTCTCGATCACTGAAATGTGGGTTTTGGGGTTCTGTGAGGCTTCATGTCTGGAACTTCATGTCTGGCTGTGCTTACTAGACTGTGCTGTTCAGCTAACAGAAAATCTGCCTACTCCCTCCTCCCCCAAAAACACAGGGCTGAAGGGTTTGTCCAGGAGATATGTGTCAAATGGATTCACCACCTGGCAGTTGAGAGGGTCCCAGGAACTGCCCTTGAGCTGCTTTACCTGACTCAGCCTCTAGCCCTACAGCTGGAAACTGGATCTGGGTCCCGTGGTCCCAGGGAGTTGTTAAGGCAGCTGGAGTGCCGGACTGACTGGGCTGTGGACCCAGCCTGCTCTGGATGAACCACTCCTGCAGGGAATGGTCAGAGCATTGCCTTCCTAAGGTTGCTGTTGGTGGCCGTGGCTCAGGGCCTGCTGGTCTGGGATCACTTACGGGCAGGTTTTGTTGTACAGATCATGGCTGGGTTTTGTGCTCTTTAGAGTTTATTAAAATGGTTGCAAAGTGTGGGAAAACATCTACTGAAAACCAACCGACACTTCTTTATCTGTGATGGCTGAGCTAATGATTCAGTTCAAATAATGAGCAGCCCCACTCCCTTTAGGATAAAGAGCCTTCTCTGTATTGGTGAACAAACACCGCACTAAATGTTCCTTTTGCTGTCCCTTGTTTTTCTCAACAGCAACTGGTAGAGATTTTCCCATCAGGGACTCAATGTGCACCATGAAAACACTACAGACTGCTAGTAATCCTGGCCTGTGATGGCTGTGAGCATTTGAGCACTGCATGAAGTCTTTCCTGAGCAGAGCTGAGCCTGGCTTCTTTAGAAAAGCCTCTAGGAGTGTCTTGAAGTCCATTTTCCCTTTAATCCTTCACTACCTTGTCTTCACACAAAACCCTACCTCTGAGGAATGGGTGGGCAGATGAGGGCCAACTCAGTGGCCCCTTTCCTGGCTCCCTGCTCCCCCCTAGGACAGTCAGATAGTGGTTTCCTTCCAGAGGCCTGGCTGGGTGGGAGGTTGCAGGAGGAGCTCTAAGCCCACCGTCCCTGAAACCTCAGAGGGAGTGGCAGGAGGTCTACAACAGCCCCAGGGCCAGGGGTCTGAGCCCCTCTCTAAGTCCCCTTAGCTCTCCCATGAAACAGCAGCTCTCAAGGGCAGGGCTTCCACCAGCTTCCCTCTGTTGTGTTAGCTGGGGTCAGACTAACCACCCGGCCCAGGTCCACTTAAGGACTGGCTCTAACTCTGAACAAAAGTTGCTTGCTAATGAAGGCCCCACTCGACTTAGCTGGGGCTGTGTGGGTGCACCCATGGGGCCAGTGCAACCTCTAACCCAGCCTGGGCCATCTGCCAGTGTCAAGTGGGACAACTCAAGCCAGAGAGCAGGTGTTTGGGCACAGGACACCTGGTACCCAGAGGCTGCCACACAAACCCAGGTAGGACAAGTGCCAGGCTCTGGGAGTCTCCACACACAAAAAATGAACAAACAGATGTTTCTGCAATTGTACCCAGTCCGTAAGGAGACAGGTGGTTCACAGAGCTGGTAAGTGGACATGATATCACACAGGGCCTAGGGCAACCACGGCCCCAACCCCTCGGCCTGTGAATTGTTCCTGAGTCAGGGCTTCTGACCTAGGGCCCTGAGAGTGGCCAGCCTGGGACTGGAATCAAGTTGGTATTGTGGGCAGATATTATTTTGCTTGTCTCGGTTTCGCTGGCAGCGTTGATGAGAGAATGGACACAGTGCAAGAACTCAAACACGGAGCCTGGGCTCTGTGGTCCCAGGGCCCTTCCAGTCCCTGAGTCGGGAGTGACAATGGGAATAGTAACAAGTGCCAGCTCAGTTCAAAACCGGGTCAGGTGTACAGAAGAATCCACGAGGCGGCCTTACAAGGGCACCTGCCAAGACCTCCCAGAGGCTGGAGGCTCGGCCACTGTCCACTTCCTGCCCCCCAGGGTCTCCTTTCCAGATGGCGCCAAGGAATTTCAAGGTTCAGACCTTGCAGATATTTGGACCCCTGCTGGCGATCCCACCCAGACTCTGCGGGGCAGGGTGGGAGGGGGGGTGCCTAAGGCTGCCCCAGGCCACGGCAGGGGGCACCATGGCAGTCATGGAGATCACAGCGGCGTCTCCTCCTGCTCCAGCCCGTGCGGTGGCGCGTGGCACGAGGGCTGCAGCGACGCAAGCTTGAGCAGTGCGGGGCGGCGGCGCGCGCGGGGCCGCTGGAACGAGCGCCGGCTGTGCACACGGCGCGCTGCCGCTGACCGCGCGTGAGCGCCCGGCAGTCCGCGGCGTTCTAGCCACGTCCCCGACGCAGACCCCGCCTCCGATGTCTGCCCGGCCCCCAGCTCGAGGTCCGGAAGAGCTGCGGGCGCCGGGTTGTGCGCGGTGGGCGGGGCCGGGGGCGGAGCGAGCGGGCGCGGGGACTTCTCGGTGGCGGGCGGTACCTCGCGCGGGGACGTGCGTCCTGTCAGCGGCACGTCAGAGCCCGTGTCACCTGCGGGAGAAACCGGCGTGAGCGCGGGGCACCCGGGGGTACAGGAGGGCCCCCACAGATCCAGCTCGGGTTCCCCCGCACACCTGCAAAGTTCTGGGACATTTGCAGGCCACACTCCCGGTGTGACCAGTAGGGTCCCCAGTGACCGGGTCAGCTGAGGCCCTGACTTTGTAGACCCTCACCAGGTGCCTTCTCTGCCCGCCACCCTACAGCACCCAGCACTGAGACCCAGGGTGTTCCAGGAGGGAGGAGGCAGGAGGGGCACGGAAGCACTGCAGGGTCCTGCCTGCAAGCTCTGCCAGGACCGGCAGTGGGACTGGGTGAGACGTCCCTGTGCAGCGTCACTTCTAGTCTCAGAAACGTCCCGGAGAAAGACCAGCTCCTGTACCAAGAAACCATTTCACCAGCCCGGCCAGCGCGGCTGCAACCCCAGCTGGACGGACAATCACCTTCTCCAGGTGTCCACATGAGAGAAAAACAGACGTTACTGCTTCCGTTGAAACGTGAGTCTGCCCAACCTGTGCTGGAGAAAGTCTAGTTTTCCTTTTCCTCCCAAGTTCCCACCAAACACTCAAGGCCCACGTGAAGTAAGTCCAAAACCCTGCCCAAGGGGGCTGAAGCCCTTTCCCAGCAGAGGGCAAAGTGGGGACAGCGGGGACCCAGCAACAGCACCCCTGCAGCACCTACCGAATGGGGGCCTTGTCCTTCACCCACCATCCTTGCCCACCACTCTCTCCTTGCCTTCTCCCCTCCCTCCTCTCTGATCCAGGAGCCCCCTTCCTGCCCAACCCCAACCCCGGGCCTGCAGCAAGGATGTGGGCACACCAGCTGCACTCCTTTCTGTACGAGGGTAAAAGGGACCAGCTGCTTCTCTCCTGAACTCACTTCTGTCAGGTGGGCTTTTCCCAGGGCCTTCAGGGAGGAAAACAGATGCTCTCTGTCCACACAGCACCCCAGCCCAGCCCATGCCCAGTCTCCTCTGAGCTCGGGACTTATATTCATGGGCTGACTGCCCAGATTAAACACTTATCTCAGAGTAGTTAGTGATCAAACTGACAATCTAAGAGTAAATTCTAGTCAATGAGGTGAAACAGCCAAATCCTCAGGCAGCTCTGGATCCCGACGTCCCAGCTGGAGAAGCAGAGACTGAGACGGGGTCCTAAGAAATGTTCAGCCAGAACAAGAGGCTTGAGGGCACAGGCTTAGCAAGAGGAAGAGCAGCTGCTAGAGAAAGTCTGCAGAGGTTCAGGTCCAGGGCCAAGAGAGAGGCAGATGCCTGAGGAAAGAGCAGGAGTTAGGGGCCCGGGAAGGGCGAGGAGCGTTACATGTGCGTGGACTCAGGCGGAGTGGTGTGAGGCTGCTCCTTGGGGCCCTCAGCCAGCAGGACGGAGTCCACGGACTTGTTGCTGAGGCGCAAGGGACCCAGGCGGTGGAAGTTGTCGGGAGAGTGGGGGATCTGCATGCGGGCCCTCTGGGAGGGCACCACTGTCTCCCCGGGAGACAGCCAGGGTGGCACCCTGGACAGGATGCTCAGGTCCTCATCCGGGGAGAACACAGGGTTGTCAATTCCTAGGAGAAAGGGCAGTGGCTGATCAGCTTTCCAGGTGTACCCAGAATTGCAGGATTAGGGTGCTGCTCAGGGGTCAGACACCAGCGCGTCCTACAGCCATCACCTGGAAGGTCAGGGTCATGTGCCTTAGGGGTTCAGGCCCTCTACCTCATGCTCTCCCGCCCCACACCATGGGCAGGACAGGTGACAGCTCCCTTCTCTCAGAGCAGAGACCCCCAACCTGCCATGTGCAGTTGCACAGCCACAGTCCTACGGTCCTGCTGTCCCTGCCCAATGACCGCCTTTACATCTGAGGCCGCAGAGGGCCACCCTATCCCCTCACCTGAGGGGGAGTCTGTTGCTGTGTCCCTGGTGACATTCGCCAGGAACTCAATCCCCCCACTCATCTCAGCATCGTTGGGGTTCTCTTCTGGGTCTGAAAGTTCCAAATCTGGTGGCAAAGAAAGGGCAGAAAGGGAAATGGGCTGGGAACACGAAAGGCCCTGGTCCAATGCCCCTAAGTCCCCTGGCACTGCCACTCAGACAAGCAGGGCAGCAGCCCACAGAGGAGGGTCCTGGGTGCTGGGCAGAGGATCTCCCTCCAAGGACAGCCCTCTGCACCCTGCCAGGCCCCTTGCACACGTCCCTGAGTCCCTGCTGAAGGCATTTCTGCCAAGGCCCCATCGGTACCTTTTTCCTTAATGGTGAAATTGTGTATGGGGTTCTCCATTGGCAGTTTCCCATTAGGAATACTGCTGTTTCTCTGAAAAACAGAATGAAACCGCTTACAGGTAAGGGAACAGTGGCCACGGGGCCCTGACTGCAGATTGTCCCTGGGAGACCCACTGGTCCCCAGCCCAGATCCCCTCCTTGCCCAGACCTGTCCCTTAAGGGGGTGCCTTGGTGGTTCCAGCACTGACCAGCATGGTCCCATGGTGACCTCAACCCCACACGCCTCGCACAGCGCCCCATGCCCTACACCCCCCGCCCCGCACCCGCGGTCCCCCTTGCCCCGTGGTCCCTCGCTCAGCACCCTTACCCGCTTCTGGGCACGCTCTCGCTTATACAGTTTGACCGCCTTCTTGTTCTGGTTGATGCCCAGCTTGGTCGACTTGAAGGACTCCAGGCGCTTCCTCATGGTTCTGTTGAAGATCTCCTTGTCTTGCTTCTCATCTTCATCCTGAGTTAACTCGTGTCGACTGTAGAGATGTTTGTACTGGGGAAGGGGGAGGTGACAGGGACAGGTGGTGACCTGCAGAGCTGGAGGCACCTAACCGCACCGTGGAGGGCAGCCCCATGGCAGGCTCCCTGTGAAGTTGGCCTGACAGACCCCCAGGACTCCAGAGCCCGGGACCACCTGGCTGGTAGGCTGAGCCCTAACCCTCCAACCTGAGCAGTGTCTGCCCTAAAGACAAGGATTTCTCCCTTTGCTCAGCGAGAAGAGAGGAGGACCTGTGCCCCCACCCAAGGCTCTCTCTCTGGTCAGGATCCCGAAGGGCTCTGGACAGGAGCCCCCACTCGCTGGCAAGCCCACCTCCTGCCGGGGCTTGTACAGGTACTGCTGCAGCGTGTGGTGAGTGACAATGTCCTCTGTGTCGCGGATGCTCCTCCTTCTCTGTTCCAGGGACTGCATGTCCAGGCACACCGCACTGACATTCTCCCTCCTACATGGGAGGACGTAGAGTGTCTGAGAGTTCCATTGCTCTCCGTGTCTGCCCCTCCTGCCCCGTGCCCTCTGGCCTGGGCACCAGCCACTGCCAAGAGGGCTGATCCTGGGAGTCCTCTCCTGGGGGGTTTTGGTCAGACTGACCCCACAAGATGCCCATTGGTTGATGTCTGTCCACACCTCTGGTGTGGCTATGATCAGGAAGACCTGGGAAGTACTGAGCAGGGAATACCGTCACCCCCACCCCTGTCTCCTGCCCGCAGCAGCCTCCAGGGCATGGTGAGAGGTGCCCTGGTGAGGGGTGGCCTCTCCCAGGGGGAAGCCTGGGCAGACTGGGGCACATACAGCAGGTAGGAGACGGAGGCCTCCACAGTGGAGGGGCGTGGTGTGCTGAAGTCTACGTTGACCATGTTGTCCGTGCTGGGGGAGCGAATGAAGGCCAGGGACCCACGGCGCTCTCCCTGCGAGAGGATATGCCTGCATAAGCCAGGACAGGGAGCACCCCAGGCCAGCCCAGGCACTGGGACAGAGAGGACAGGGCCTGGGAAGCCTACAGCACCTGGAGAGCGGAGATTTCAGAGACCGTAGCCAAGGCCTTGCTTGAGCTGAGCGGTTAGTTAGCCATTGTGTTAAGAGGAAAGTGAAGATACAATTGTGTGTGAAGGACACGGCACCTCAGTGGCACCTGGGGAATGTTGGGAAAGCATGACAGATCCCCATGGGATTAGGAAGGCGACCCCTGTCCCTACTGGGGGTCCAAACCAGCTGTCCTTGTTTCTCCAAGAAAGGAATCCTCAGGATTGAACCTTCAGACAGACCACACAGAGCAGAGCCTGATGGGAACCAAAGTCACATCCTGGCTTCTGGGGGTGGGGGCTGGGCTATGGGGTGGGGACGCCCCTTAGGAGAGGGGCTTGGAGCTGGGAAGGGTGGCTAGGTGGGGCCAACCTGCTGAAGGCAGACAGCAAGGTGCACAGGCCACCTGCTGGTGCCATCTGAGCAGGCCTGACCAGGGGTTGGGGCACTGGATGTGGGGAGCAGCAGGCAGAGGTAAGGTTGGGGACCGTGTCAGGAGCCTCCATCACCCCCATGGGGCCTGGGGGTCTGGAGCATGTGGGTTGGGTTTCTATGGAGTGGGATTGAGGTGGCATTGTCTCAGTGATGGTTTAGGGACCCCTCTCCATATCTCCCGATGGCCCCCAGCTCCTCTGCCAGGAGCACCTGGTCCCTCAGAGTAACCTGGGCATCTGAGTGTCTGGTGTGTGGGGGGTTGAGGAGCCCTGCAGAGGCAGCAGTAATTTTCTCTCTGAACAAACAGATGCTTCCGGTCCCCTAACTCCATCTCTGTGTTGAGGCCACCAGGTTTGCTGAGACTCCCAGCTCACCAGGCTCTATGCAGACCCCAGCTGCACAGGAAAGGACAAAGGGAAGGCATGAAATCTGCAGGTTCTGAGGGATCAGAAGCAAGGCAGGGACTCCTGGTCAGAGCCCCTCAGAGGAGGCAGGGGCAGGGGTCTAAAGTGACCCTGCCGCTGTGAATGTTGGGTGTCATTGTGGGCAGCAGTGTCCAGCAAGGCTGTGTGGGATGGCCTGGAAGTCACTGTTACAGGCCACACACTGGGGATAGGGGAGGAGCAAGCTCAGGACTTGCCTAGACCCAGGCCTGTGCAGGGCGCCAGGTGACCTTAGGACCCACGGGGCATGCATGGAGACATGCATATTGCAGAGGTGGCCTGGTGATGAATGTAATGGCCATGTGATGGTCACATGTATGCATTGAGAAGCTAGGAAGCATGGCCAGGAGGTGTGTGGCCACTGGGGAAGAGGACAGCCAGACTGCGTGTCCCATGAGGAATGGAGTTAGACCTGAGACCCACCATGACTCCTGTCCCATTTGACACATCCTGAGTCCTGTCAGCGGCTGGAGGCTGCCATTAGGGAGGTGGTATCAGAAACAGCGAGATGCTGGGTGTCACCATGCAGTCCACCCACGTGCTTCTTGAGCCCTGCTCATTGATGCCACCCCCTGGATGCATGGGTATGGAGAGCCTTTTCAGAGACCTGGGGGTGGACCCATTTACCCCGAGAAGGCAGGGGAGCTCTGTGAGTGCAGGAGAATCGTTCACTTGGAGGGACAAAGAGATGTTGAGGAGGCCACTTCTGAACCACAGCCTGTCCATGGGTCTGTTCCATACTTACCCCCTGGAACTTGAGAAGATATCCTTGCTGCTTCCCACTGCGTGTGTGCATATGCACACACATATGTCTGCATGTGCCTGGGTGTGCATGCATGTATGTGTGTGCATTTATGTTGGGAGCCATAGCCCCATAATTCCCTACCTGGTCTCAGAGGTCAGACCGACCCACCAGCACCATAGAGTGTCCTACAGAGCAGTGGTCGCCAACCTTTCAGACCTCACGGACCACTAGTGGTCCACGGACCACCAGTTGGCGACCGCTGCTACAGAGGAATGGGGGAAGATTCTATGCCTCAGCTTCCTGTGAGTGAGGAGCTATGACATGACCCTTTCCTGGGGTGTTGAAGGACCCATGAGCCTCACACAGAGTTGTGGGTGGACCATTAAGAACAGCACAGTGTGCCCTGGCCAGTGTGCTCAGTGGTTAGAGCATCAGCCAGTGAACTGAAGGGTCACAAGTTCGATTTCCAGTCAAGGGCATGTATCTGGGTTGCAGGTTTGATCCCTGGTCCCATTTGGAATGCATACAGGAGGCTATCAATCAATATGTTTCTCTTATATTGATGTTTCTCTCTCTCTCCCTTCTTCCACTCTCTAAAGATCAATAGAAAAAATATCCTCGGGTTGGGATTAACAACAACAACGACAAAAGAATAGCAGTGCCACCCGCAACTACCTCCCCAGCCACCCCATGTCTTGGGTGCGGAAGACCCAAAGGCTATCCCCGTCCCACGTCCGGGTCCTGCATCAGCCCGCACCTCCCACACAGAGCAGATGTGGAGTGTCTGGTACCTCGGCCACGTAGCTGATGGCGTCCTTCAAGTTGAGCTCATGGAAAACATTAAGAATTCGATCTCGTGACTTTTGGGCTGACTTTCTCATAAGGATTTTGCTGAGGAATTTTCTATCAAAATTGGACCACCTGGGGGATAGAACCAGACAGTGTCAGCACCTGGCGGGCTGTGGGCGAGCCCAGGGAGGATGGGCAGGGCATTCCCAGCCTCCTACCCAGACTCACTGAACATGGTCTCCCAGAGCTGGGTGGGCACAGAAGACCTCTTTCTCTCTCCAGAGATTTTTTTTTTTACTATTTATAGCAACCACAAAGGCAAATTTTAAAATAAAAGCAATACATGACAATCATACCAATTTCACAATTCTGTTCTTCGTTCTTACCTTTCTATCTGAGGACAGTTGTCATTAGAATGTATATAAAATTGTAGGTTCTGTTTTCTCATTTAATTCGATATTGTAGAGAGTTTTCCAAGTCGCTACACAACCCTCCAGAAAGGTGGGCTGAAGACAGAGTGGGGCCAGGCAAGGGCAGGGGCCCCGAGCTCTGGCTACAGTGACAGGGGCACATTGCACTGCGTGAGGCGAAGGCCAGGGGAGAAGGCCACCCCTGCACCCCCACCCCAACCCCTGGTTCTCTCTCACACTTAGAACCAGGCTGCCCAGAAGGAGTTTTAAAACTCAACACAATTAGAACAGTGACCAGTTGTTTGGGTTAGAATAGGACGTGACTGGGCCAGACTTGGAAAGAAGCTTCTAAAAGAGGCTCAGTGCACTGCGGCAGGGGGACACCCTGGGCAGGAGGGGTCCCAGGTGAAGGAAGGAAACCCAGGCATTTTGGGTCCTTTGAGTGCAGTGTTCTTCTGTAATTAGGGTTTTGTGGGGTTATGTTTGAGGTAAAAGGCGGTATTCTTTTTCCCCTGAGGGTCCTATACTCAGTCTTTGACTAAAGGAAGAGGGAGGGAAACAAACAGCTGAGGCAAAAGTGCCTCCCCAGGTTCCCGCCAGAGGCAGCGCCAGCCACTTACTTGTCTCTGAGGTAATTGTGTCCGATTTGCCCTGATATGTCCTCGATGGCTGAGAGGATGTGGTCGAAAGCCTTTCCAAAACAGGAGGGTTGTCACGTGAGGGCCTCCCTGTGCTTCTCCCCATGCCTCCCCCTCCCCCCAGTACTCTTCCCCTGCCCCACCCCCAGCCCCCATCCGCCTACCCTGCCATGCAGCTTCTCGTTGAGTTTGGGCTCACGGTGCTCACTCCTCTTCACCTTCAGCCACTGCACCAGGGGCTTGATGGTCAGGCCCTGGGAGAATGGAGTACACTGACCCTGACAGCCGGGGCAGACTTCACTGCACCCCACACCCAGCCCACTGGGCCCCCATGTGTGAATCCACACCCGACTCACCCACACCCACATAGGGTGGAATGGGCCACCCTTATCTGTGACCTTCCCTGCAGAGAGGAGCCCCCACAACAGCCCCTGTGGGTGTATTGCTGTCTCCTGAGAGCCCAAATTCAGCTCCTCAGATGAGCCTAAAGCAAGGCCAAGTGGGGTGATAAAATATTAACTGGGGCTCCCTTAACTAGTGATGGCTAAGGAAGGACATTTTTAAGCCAAATTGTGCTGTGTCCCCTGTGGGGCCACATAAAAACCTACAAAACAGCTCCTAGTTACTAAAATTATAAAATCCAATTAGGGCCTGGAGCTCGGAAAGGCTCTTTGGAGACACAGTGATGGTGGGGCCTGCGCCTTGTGGCCGGTGGGTCGGGCATGGAGGGCTGACAGGAGGACAGCAAGGTGCGGCTGGTCCCCAGCTGAGGGCTACCTGGAAGATGACAGTGAAGTAGATGACGACGATGGTGGTGCAGACAAAGAGGTTCTTCTCCTTGACCTTGTTCTCATCCAGAAGGACCACCAGGGCAAAAGCCACAGCGCCCCGCAGGCCGCCATAGGACATGACCACCTGGTCGATGATCTCCAGCTGCACCATCCGGTACCGGTTCAGGATCCAGGTCTGCAGCACGACACCTGCGGGACCAGACGTGCGCTCAGCTTCCACAGGGGGCCGTGTGCCCCACGATCGCCTTCTCAGGCAGCCGCTGCACTTGAGAGGGAACATTTAGGAATCCCTCCTAGGATGGAGGGTGGTGACAGGTGGCAGCACCATCTAGCACAGGGGATGGTGAAAACTCCACCCTCTGGCCCTGTTCACCCGTCCCTTGTTCCACCTTGGACCCGGGCCTGTCTCTGGACACTTCGAACACTCCGGGTTTACAGTGTCTGGGCAGCTCTGAGAGTCTCAGTTCTCAGTGGGGCTAAGGCTGCACTGGCTGAAGCCTTGCCTCTTGATGCCTGAGGCAGCTCCAGGGCCAAAGGCCACTGCTGAGGGCAGCAGGAAGAGAGTGACCCTACCCCACCAAGACATCCGCTCCCTGAGCCCTTAGTCCCCAAGGACTGGGGGGGAGGAGCAGGTGTGATCACTTGGAGCCTCTCTCGCCCCCACTAGTCCCCACCTAGGTCTCCAAGGCACCACACACTAGAGATGGTGACTCCTGCCTCACACATGCCATTTCCTTTCCTCGGTGACTACACTGTCCCCGAGTCACTCTGCCACATCCAGAGGGAGTCAGTGGGAAACCAAATGGGTTCCCCTGGGTTCTGACCCTTCCACCCTGACCCCGAGCTGCCCTACCTTAGTCTCACTGTGGTAAGGCCCCAAGAAGGCCTAGACCTTCACTGAGGACTCCTGACAGTCTGTCTGAGGCTCACCAGGGGCTCCTGAACCTACCCTCACTGAGTGGGGGCAAACGCCGAGGCCCTGGAGCCCATGGACTCCCCACAGCCAGTCCCTATGTCACCCACCATGATCTCCCCAGTGTCGTCCTCCCACCCTCTTCCCATCATCTCCAAAGTCTCCCATCCCCCATCATGCCACCCCATCACCCCCCATTGTGCCCCATCCCCATTGTCCCCCACCACCTCCCATGGTTCCCATGGGACCGCCATCCCCTCTCATCACCCATGGTCCTCCCCATACCCACCCTGTTCCCCACCATTGCCCCCTACTACACCCCCACCCCGCCACGCCCTCACCGATGGCTCGGTACACAGAGATGAAGACCAGCGTCAGGAGCACGAAGGCCGTGTTCCACTTCCAGTATTCGGGGTTCACCGCCGAGATGCCCAGAAACATGAAGATGATGGTCTCGGCCCCGCTCGCCAGCATCTTCATGGTGTAGCGCACGGTGGTGGCCGACTGCTCCGAGATGTTGGCCTTCACGTACTTCTGACAGCAGATGCCGCAGAAGGTGATGCTGGGGACGGGACGACATGCTGTGAGGCCGAGGGCCACACGCCGCTCCCCCTTGACCTGGTGGGGCTGTTCCCAAGATCCAGCGCTTGCTGTCCCCTGGCAGCACCTCCAGGCCTCTGTGTCCTGGACAGACATCCACCTCCCTGGTCAGCCCTTCTCTCCATGAGCTCAGAGTTCCTACTGGGGACCAGGGCCCTGAGCTGGCCCATGCCCAGCTCCAGTACCCCAACATCACTGCCATCTGATATGAGCCTCTGGGACCGGAACCCTAGGCTGCAGAGCAGGCTGCCTGTTTCTGTCCAAGCCGGTGGGTGGGCGGGCTCGAAGGGGAGGTGCAGGGCAGACCCGGGAGGGAGGGGCGGGTGTGGGCCAGCTCTGACAATTGCATCAGAACTCCAACTCCCTATTTAAAAAGCTAAACAGATCAAATTCTTGGCCCCCACAGTGACTTTCCATCAGGCTGGGAAGTGGGCCAGCAGACAGTGGGCTGGAGAAGGGGCTGTGGAAGGCTGTGCCTCCTGCAGGGCTCGGGAGCAGGCGCCACTCCAGCCTCCCCCGTATCTGGGTGGGTCCCGCTCCCCAGGTCGGCCCTCTTCCTCCACAGCCCACCCCCCTCAGCAGGGCCGCAGGCTGTGCTCCGGCTCTGGGGCCTGGGTGAGCCAGGGAGGACTTACGCCAGGATGGCCGACAGGGAGAGCATCTCGGAGGTGAGGTAGGACAGGTAGGAGATGACGAACACGAAGCCGGGCTCAATGATGCGCACGTGCTTGGTGAAGCGGGTCACCAGGGAGAGCAGGAAAGCGAACACGACCCCCACCAGCGTGCCCCCCAGGCTCACCACGAAGAAGGACACTGCAAGGGGCAGGACGTAATGCTGAGCTGCCTAAATGGCCCTTTGTGGCCTCGGCGTGGCCTGACCCATGTGGCGTGGGCCAGGCTGGTCGGGCTGGCCTTCCTTCCAGGCCATTCCTCATGGCAGTTGCCTGGTAACCCCCCCACAGAGGCGCCAACAGCTCAGCAAACAAGAGGCCCGTTCTCTGGAAGAGAGGACTGGACTCCTCAAGCCTCAGCGTGGAAAGCTGGGGAGGAGGCAGTCCTGCAGCCCACAGAGGCCCCGCTCCCCGTCCCATCACAGAAGGAGCACTGTGACCAGAGGCCCTCGGGTCTAAGTTTGCAGCAAGGACCAGGCTGTCACAATCCCGTCCCATAGAAGCACCTAGAACCCCCCAGAAACCAGGACCCACATCATCCACCATATCCCCTGATCCCCATATTCTCGTGGGTCTAACGGGCAATGACCCCCGGGTTTCCCAGGGTGGCTGGCCCCTCATAAAATCATGTTTGTGAAACACACTGTGGACGGAAAGGACTGTCAGGCTATGGGTCCCAGGGGCAGGCCTGGTGCCAACGCCTGACCCCGCCCAGCTCCACAGTCCACAGAGGCGCTGCCAAGAGGCGGCCCGCATTCTGGAGAAAGAGATGCTCCCCTGGCATTCCCCTGACAGGAGGACCCCACAGCCACACACCTATGCCTTTCACGCAATCCACGCCAGTCACGTTGTCGCCACCCAGCGCCACGAAAGATTCAAACACGGTGTACAGGACCTGGGGGACAGCGAGGCAAACCACACATGGGTCAGCCCTCCATCAGCACTGACCCTCCCCGTCCTGGGCCCCAGGCCTTTCGGGACTTAGGGCTGGAGAGAGGAGCTTGTGGCAGCCATTTATTTCGGAGCCTGCATACCGCTGGCAGGGAAGTCATCCCAGGGCAGTAATAGGATGAAGGCCAACGATGAGCCAGCAGGTGGGACCTGGGAGGCAGAACATTCTGGAAGGAACGAGGGCCTTCAGGAGCAACCTGGCCCTTTCCGACTCTGGGCAAAACAGGGGCGGCCACAAACCTAAGCCACTGCGTTCAATTTCATTTTCCAAGACAAACCCGGAGTTTCATCCTTGGCGAGTTTGCTGTTATGTTGCCCCCTGATGTGGGATCACACACCCTGGCATCTTCGCATGTTGATCTTTAAACCTTATCCCACCAAGACGTTGAGATAAAACGCCCAGAAACCTTATCCTAGGCCTCAGTTGTGGAGACAGCTGTGTTTTCTGAGCCCGAGCTCCCCTAAACGATGCGCCGGGCTCCACCCCAAGGAGGCCGAGATGCTCCCTGGGGGGCGGGGGGGGGGGCAGGCCCCTCGGGAGGAAACTTCTCTCTGTGCCCCGAAGCCTGTGCTCTCCAGGACCCCGAAGGGGCGGGTGAATAAAACTGTGCATACAAACGCAGCCCCACAGGTGCCGTGCACAGGGGCGGGCACACGCATGAAGGGTGCTGGAAGCAGACCTCGGCTTGCCCCGCTTCTTTGTGAAAACCCAGGTGGGAGGGAGAGGGGAGAACTCCTGGCTGCAGCAGGAGCTCCTGCCTCTACAGAGACACAAGCGCTCAGGACAGAAGAGCCCCAGCCTTGAGGGCCGTGCAGGGTGTTTCTGATTGCGTCTCGTCTCCAATTACGTTTAATTCCCTGAGACTATCTCATCTGCTGCAGAGGAATCTGGTGCAATCTACCCTTAGGCCCTTCAATCTCCTGAACCCTGAAGGGGCATCAGGAGGAGAAATTCTTAGAGAAGCCACAGGCACTTTTAGAGCAAACAGGGAATTCCAGGTCCCACTGGGTCTGGGCCCATGTGGGGGACGGTGGACAGGGCATGCAGCCAGGCCTAGAGCCGCTCAGAGAGATGTTCCCTTCCAGGGAGGTCATGGCCCCATTTGGGGATGGGTTTTGAGAACTTCAAGATGGCCACATGCTGAGACAGTTCCTCACGTTTCAGGAATCTTCCATTCACTTCTCATAGTGGTAACTTGGCCTCCAGCCCCTGCCCACCCACGGGCCCTGCCCAGCTCCCTGGCACCATCTCTCTGAGGGAAAACCACCTTCCTGAGCACACAATCAGTGTCCCCTGATCCCCCACCCCCAAATAAAGGTGAGATTTTGCTTGTTTACGTATGCATTCTCTTTGGAAAATCAGGAAGGAGAGCCCAACTGTGGATCCGAAGTTAAAGACCCCCTGTTCTGGGAACAGAGACCGTGGGATTTCAACAGTGAAATCATACCTGTGGCCCAGCGGGTGTGGCTCAGTGATTGAGCATCGACCTATGAACCAGGAGGTCATGGTCCGATTCCCAGTCAGGGCACATGCCTGGGTTGTGGACTCGATCCGCAGTGTGGGGCGTGCAGGAGGCAGCCGATCAATGATTCTCTCTCGTCATTGATCTTTCTATCTCTCTCTCCTTCTCCCTTCCTCTCTGAAATCAATAAAAATATATGTTTTAAAAATCATCACCCGTGAAAGAATAAAGTGTGTGTGTGTGTGGGGGGGGGGGGGGGGTACCAAGAACCGTGAAGAAAAGAATGAAGAAATCGCATTACAAAAGCCAGCCTCAGAGTTAGTGGAGGAAAAGGCCCAGCAGAAGGAGCTGGCCTGCAGAATGCCTTGGACCACGAAGCCTTTGGGCTGTTGGGGCCAATGAGCAGACTCAGGCTCTGTGGGCGACCTCGTGATGCCCGGGGAGCAAATAGGGTCCCCCCACCCACAGCTTTGAAACGCTGCTCTGAGGCACGGCCAGGACCCTCCCCCACTCTCTCACCACAGTGACAGCGTCATTCAGCAGTGACTCCCCAAAGACAATGATGAACAGGACTTCGTTGACATGAACCTCCTCAAACACCGCCAGCACGGCCACCGGGTCCACAGCAGCGATCAGGCTGCCGAACAGGAGAAAATCCAACAGCCCGATGTTCAGGTCTCCTGGGAGACAAGCGGGGCATCAGGGAGGACCTAGAGGGCCAGGCGAGCAAGGGTCCCTGCGGCGTCCCCTGGCTACCAGGACCTGGAGAGAAGAGGGGCTATGGGGAGCGGAAGCAGGAGCACATCCTTGGCCTTCCCGGGACTGCCTCGGGCTCCTGGCCTGGCAGCTGCTGGGCTGGGAACCCTCAGGGTGGGGCCTCTGACTCTTAGGGCTCAGGCTGGCTGGTGTGGGAACCTGGGTCAGACGACCAGCCTCCCTCAGGGGCTCCCACAGTCCTCCAAGAAAGGCAGCGGCCCAGCCAGAGGAGACTGACCACCCTGGCTCTCTTCTTCATCTCCCCTTGGGCCTGGCTGACCCCTCCTGGCTGGCTCACCAGTGAGCTCACTGCAGGCAGGTGAGGGCTCAGGTGGTGCCTGGCCATGGGACACGCCATCAGACCCCGGCCCTGGGGAGTTTGCAGCCGAGGTCAGCGTGAGTACAGACGCAGGGTCACAGGTGCTGGGAAGACATCGGGGGCTTGATCGGTGGGAAGGAGGCCTCCCAGGGAAATGATGCCTCTGCCATGATTGGAACAACCAGGGCGGGCCTAAAAGGAGGTGATGGGTGGGGCAGGCCTCACCGGACCCTGGGAGGGGAACCAGCTACAGGGGGATGGGGAGAGAGGAGGGGAGGGAGATGAATGGCACATCTGGGGGTGCTAGGAGGGGAGGAGCGAGGCCCTGGAAGGAGTGGGTCCATGTGGAGCCAGCCCCTGCTTCCTTCTGCTGTACGGCTCCTGCCCAGGGGGTTCTTGGGCGCCCTTGGGTGGAGAGATTGTGCTGAAGTGCACTCTCACCCTTTGCAATCCTCCCAGAGTTATCTCCTGTCCCAGATCATGTGCAAACCCCGTCTCCCAGCGACGAACCCACAACCTCAGGGAGGTGCATGTGGGTGCCTGTCTGGCTCGGCTGGGCTTGGTTGGAGGAGGGCCTTGGCTGTGGGCCTTCCTGCTGCCCTGTTGGTATTGAGTCCCCTCCCCAACCAGAGTGGACCCCAGGGGCCCAGGAGCCAGTCAGGCCTTGAGGGCAGGAAGAGGCCCACCTATAGGGCCAGGACGATAGGGGGAGGGTGGGAGAGGCTGAGTACACTGCGTTCTGGGACAGAGGCGTCTGGGACAGAGGCGTCTGCAGGAGCCCACTCTTCCTCAGGGCCCAGTCACGTCCCCAAAGCCCCCTCAGGGAAAGGTTGGTGCCCCCGAGGGAGTTTTCTGTGAGTTCCTAAATCTTCCCAGCCTGGCACCAGGGTCACTGTCCTGAAGAAGTGACAGGTGTTAAAAGCACTGGCTCCCGGTGAGTTTAAAATGCCCCATTTAGAACGGGGGTCATGGGTTTTGCTTTTCCACCCAAGACACTGTCAGTGGGCAGATGTGAGAACACAGTTCAAACTCCAGGGGCTTCCAGACTCTCACTCTCCATGCAGGCCATCAATCTTTAAGGCCTCCCTGAACATCAGCCGCAAGTTGTGGAGGATGCTGACCAACCCAGTGGTACATTCCAGAAGCCGGCCACTCATTTCAAGCAGGATGTGACCTGGGGCCTGCCCTCCTCCCTGGTGGGAGAGCCCACCACCCACTGGCCCTGCCAGGACAGTTCTGTGGACTGGACTATGGGCTCACGGCCGCCCAACTGCATGTTCTAACCCCTCTCTCCATCCCGGGCAAGAAGACCCGTGGCTTCACCCCCTCAGGGGCATCTCCAACTGCCCGCCCGAGCTTCTGCAGGGCCTGTCCCTGAGTGGCTCGCCTGGACAGCGACCCAGGACGTGTGGGCTGACCCCTCCTCGGAAGGGTGCGAGGGGCCTTGAGCCACTGGTCTGCACAGACGGATCCTGCCTTCCTAGCTCCGTTGGCTCCAAGCTCTGTGTACCCGGGAGCAGAACAGACATGTTGGCCCCTGAGCACCACTGTGTTCCCTGACCTGGGCTGACGCCCAGCCTGACAGGCTGTGTCCTGGGTTCCCTACTCTAAACTCTGAGACTTCCCCCCAAGCGATGGCCATGCCATTTTCGGTATGTCCAAGGTTGGGCATCGCCAACCGTGGTAGGTCTCTCGGGGCTGGGCCTATGGGGTGGTGCCCACAGTGGGGAGCTTGAGGGGGCACAGCCCCGCGGGGTAAGCACAAAGTCCTGTGGTGACAAATGTGCTGGGCGAGGAGACAGTCTTCGTCAGGGGACCTTTGGTTCTTCCTTCTCAATGCACCTCCTCTGTCACCAGGAGATGAGGGGCTCGGGTGGTGCCTGGTGTCAGGTGTGCGAGGCTCTTCCTTCAATCAGATGGGAAGTCGCCCATCTGGGCTCACCCCCAGGAGTCTGGCTTCCGGGGAGGAAGTGTGTGAGGTGGGGCTGAGTGCTCAGACAGGCGCCCATGGGTGCCCACATTCACCCTCTCACTGCCCTGGTTACCCAGTGCTGGCAGCAAACCTGCAGACCCATGATGCAACAGGGCAGCCACAGCAACCCCAAACAGAACAGCACGTAGGGCTGCACGGTGCAGACACATCTGTGCGAGGCCTCAGGTGACCCACTGGCCTCACCTGCTCCAGTTTCCCAGGAAGATAATGACCGACACCCAGATGGGTGGGGTGCACCTCACAGGTCCCCCAGGCCAGGGCTGAATGAAATAACCAAACTGCAGGGGAGTAGCTTTGAGTGCATAGAAAGGGTGTGGCCTTTTCTCCAAGGTTTGGGTAGAAAGGACACCCAAACGTTTTGCTTGGTGGGCATTTATGTGGGCCGGGGGCCTCTGCCAGAGAGGCCTCCTCCTCGCTGCCTGTGAGGGCTCAGGGACAGGGGAGTGGGGCTGGACCCCACCTCCCTGCCAAGGGGGAGGGACAGCAGCTGGACTATTCCTACCTGCCCAGCCTACTGGCCACCCTGGTCCAACAGGACCTCATTCACAAGCAGGACACATAACCTTGGCCTGGGGATGCTGGGCTGCACATGGACCAGCCAGTTATGCATTCAGCCTCACTTTAAACAAACCAGGAGGGTTCAGTGGGCCCGTCTGTGACATTTCTCGCTGACCTGAAACACCGCTTTTTAGGTCTGTGTTCTGCACCCTGGGCTTTCTTAGATAGGGCTGCCCAGAGCCCACCCGGCAGAGCCCACCCTGAGGAGCCCACCCTGCGGTGTCCACCCTGCAGAGCCCGCTAGGTGGACGGGGGTGCCTGCTCACCCATCAGGCCGCTGAGGAAGACGCCATAGAGGGAAAGGCCGGTGGTGGCCGCGTTCCACACGGTGCCGATGACAGCGTACAGCAGGATGGTGCCCAGGTTGCCGAAGAAGAGCCGGTTGGGCATGAAGTAGCCGGCGTCCAGCACGATGGGTGGCAGCAGGTAGAAGAAGAAGACGGTGGGCGTGAGTGTGAAGGAGGCGATGTGTTCGGCTGCCCAGACGATGCCGCCTAGCACCAGGCCCACCACAATGAGCAGTGCACTCTCAGGGACCACGCTGGTGACCTTGTGGGACAGGTGGAAGCCTGCGGGGGAGAGGGCGTCAGGGGCCAGGACCCCACGGGAAGGGGAGAGTGGGACCCCATGGGGGAGAGGAGGGAAGGGAACCCCACAGGAGGGGCCATCTGGTGCCATAGGACAGACATGGGCTTAAGAAGCAAGGCCTACTTCCTGTCTGTGGATGCTTCCCTCTGTCCCGCTCAAGTGGCCTGGCGGCCTGGCCAGTCCGCTGTCAGCTGCCCCTCAGGACCTGGCCAGAGTGCACCCTCCTCAGGGCTCTCCCCATCCCCTGCCCAGAGAATGACCCCCTCCCAGGAACAGAGTCTTCTAAAGCCAGGGTCTCCAGGGCTCCCTAAAGAAACTAGCTCACTGCCCACATTCTAGCTTTCGGGGGACCGTGGCTAGAGGTCTTCCCACCCACGGCTGGCCCCTCAGCCCCCTTGATTCCCTGGGCCATCAACCTTGCCAGGATCTTAGGAGATGAGGCAGAGGCCCCACCCACACAGCCTACTGGAGTCCATTTTTCTTTTGTTCTATTGTAAGACTCAGAAAAAATATGATAATTCCACATTAAGCCCGATTTCAAAATAGCTGGAATGTTGTCAGAAGTGGACTCCTGCTTAAGCAATGTTTGGCATCATTATCGTTTTCATTCACCAAAGTCCTGCTCACTGAGAGGCCTTCTCTGAAATTCTGAGGAGCGCTGTCTCCTGAGCTGACAGGATCCCAGTGGGCAGGAGAGGGAGGCAGAGCCAGGGTGCTGTCCCATCACGGGAAGAATTCTTGGGCGAGGCCAGAGGAGGTGGCTGGCTCGGAGGCTGGGTCCTGCCGGTTCTGATCCAGCCCCACCCCTGCTGTCAGGTTGCCTCACCCCTCCCTGGCCTGTTTCCTCACTTGTAATTACTGGTCACTGTGGGGGCTCCCCGAGCAAGGAGGTCTCCTGGTCTCACTCCTGCTTCTTCCCTGTGGACAGCCCTCTCCAACCGGGCTAAGGGGCTGAGTGACAGGCCCAGCACAGGACCTTCCGGGCACCAGGGCCTCTGGCCTGTGACCTATGACTACAAGGCCTCCTGCATGCTTGGCAAGTTCAGGTTTCAGTGGGCAGAAGCAGAATGGGCTATGCTTCTGGGACCTGAGGACCCGCTAGGGGTCCCGCTCCCACCCCTGCAGGCCTGCAGGTCCTCCAAGGGCCCCCAGCCGGCTGCACAGCTTGCATTCTGATCAGGTCCTGCTTTCCCCTTCGATATATGACACACACACACACACACACACACACACACACACAGGTGGGGGTGGAGGGAGGCATCCCTTCGCCCCACCCCCAGCAGAGCTGCCCAGGAAGCCCACAGAGGGAGTTCCCACCTTCATGGAGAAACCTGGAGGCCCAGGAGGCTGGCGCCTGGACGTGGCCACATGCCTGAGGACAGGTCGTGAGTGGCACCACAGGGTGACCACCCTGAGGGAGAGAGCGGACGCCTGGAGAGCCTCGGGCCCTGCCTGGCTGCTCAGCAGAACAACATCCTGGCCTCGCTCACAGCCCCTGCAGGGAGTTCTCCCTGAGCTTGGGTGGGGCCCTCATGTGGGCGAGAAAGGAGGCGTCCAGTGTCCAGCGAGGCTACCCCGGCCCAGCTCTGCTTCCACACGGCAGCGTCCCAGAGCCCCCATCCTCCCTCGGCAGCAGCTGGCCTCCCGGATCCTCGCACGCGGCGAGGCAAGGGCACAGCAAAGTTGTCTCTTCCTGAGACAACATGCTCCCCCTGCCCTGGGACATTGGGCTGCCCTCTGCTTTGGGAAGAGACCTGGGAGGCCTTGCCCTCCCTGTGGCTTGTGGCCCTGACATCCGAACACATCGGCAGCACAAGAACCCTTGCAGGGCCCAGGGCCCCACTCCAGACACCAGACTCAGCAGGTCCTGGGCCGCCCCGGGAGTCTGCTTTCTCACGGGCCTCCGGGCCGCTCCCTGGTGGACTCTGGAAAGGATTGGGGCACGTGTCCCTCCCTCTGGACTCTCCCTAATTGTTTATTAATGTCCAGAGAGAGCTGAGCTGATGGTCTTTTCTTCTTTCCTAATGGACTGGGTGTCCAGGAGCTGGGTGTAGAAGGCCAGTGGCCCCTGCCCCTGTCTGGCCCTGCTTCTCTGTCCTCAACTGGGCCACTGGTGAGGAAACGCCTTTCTCTGGGGTGGGGGTGACATCCTCTCCTGCCCCCAGGAATTCCCAGGAGCCTCAAGCCAGCGGCATTGGGGCCACCCTCCTGAAGGCTCTAGCTGCATTCACCATTCATAGAAGTCGCTGTTTTCTATAAAATGCATGTTTTCTGTCCTTCTTGCTGTCCTGGCCCGGCTATAGCAGAGACTGTATTGGTGGCAGCCTCCTCGCCTGGTCCTCTTGCCTTTTACAGCCCAGCAAAGCTCCCACAGCAGCTGGGAGGCGGGGAACTCGGTGCCCAGTGACCTGTAGGCCTCTTGGAAGACAGAATCCAGTGACCAAAAGACATAGCACCGAGGGTCATGGAGCTCAGGGCCAGACTTGGGGGGCACCGAGTGACCTCTGAACTCTGGAAGGCCCCTTGCTGAGGAGGCAGCCAGGATCCCTAGAGCTGGCTCAGGTTCAGTCACGATCTCTCCAAAACTGGAGCTGCACCACGGGTCATGAGCACTGTGCATTTCCCTTTGACAAAGGCAGGGCCAGTGGGGCGGGAAGGTGCCAGGGACCAGGCTTCTTCTTAAAAACAATAACAACAAACTTTGCACTTTAGGAACGGGAAGTCCTCGCCGGCACCGGCAGCTAATCCTTGGCCGCATTCCTGTATGGCAGCTGGTTACTACACAATCTTATTAATTTGGGAAATGAGAGGATGACAGACAGGCCAGCTTCAGAGCAGATGCTCTTGCTCACAAGTAAGGCCCGAAAACCCACAGAAGAAAACAACGTGTTCTTTTTACTCCCTGAGAAAGAAACATGCCTGCACACCGTGTGTGGCACGGGCACGTGTGTCTGAACTTCCGCCGTCGGCGCCGGGCGCACTCTGTGAGGGGGGGTCCTGGGAGTGGGCGCATTTTAAACTGGAGGGCTCACCTGAGTGGAAGTGCCTGTCACATCTGCCCACGGTGCGGGGCAGGGGGTCCTGTCTTCGTCCCAGGCGGGTGAGAAACAGCACCACCACCCCGGGGGATTCCATCTAACTTCTCTTCAAGTTTGGGGACCATTCTTTCCTTTTCTGTGACTTGTTTCTTCACAGCATTTGTTCCCGACTTCACGAGTTCTCAGGCTGGGTTTCGCCTTCTCACATTGTCGTTGTCGTGGGGTTGTGTCCTGAGGCTGCACAGAGCTCCCAGAACCTCCCCCAGATGTGGCCCATCCCCTCTGGGCTCTGTGTGGTGTGAGGAGGAAGGCAGATCAGCTGCTTTCCTTTCTTAGTTCACCTGCGCGAGTCACCTGCCGGCTTGTTTTTTTCTGTCTGGCGATTGGAAGACATTTTTTCATCCTGAGAACATCCTTGTAGCAAGGATACCTCTCAATGCTGATTTTCCTTCTTTCCCCTAATATGGGGAAATAATTCTTTTCAGCTGCAATTTCTGTCCTCCCTCCACTTCAACGCTCGGCCTCTTGTGCCTGGTTTATCTTTCTGGCTCAGGGACAAGGGGACGGGGAGTCAGTCTGAGATTGTCTGGGCTCCCCATTTTCACCCAGATCTCAGGGTCTCTGGTTGATGGGATTTCTTCTCGAGCCAGTCTTGCCAGACCGGGACAGGTCAGGCCCGCGGGCGGCTCTCCTCAAATCCCATGACCCCTCTCCGACGGCAGGCTGCATTGTAATGAGCTCCTAGTAATTAAACTGAAAACGTGATAGGCTTAAAGTGGCTATTTGCTAGTGGGTTAGCAATTAAGCACATAATGGACATGTTAGGAATAAGAAAGCCAAGTTCTGGCTCCAAGTCCCCTGTGGCATGGCTCCCACTGCTGATGGCAAGGCTCTCCAGCCAGAACCGGGCCTGGCCACCGTGGCATGGTCCTTGGACACAGGCGGACTCGGCTCTTGGTCAGGACCCCAGTCGCTGCAGGCCACACACTTCCTGCCTGCACATTCCCAGGATGGGGTCATAGTGCTCGTGTCTCAGGGTTATTGTGAACATTTACCGAGGTGATGGGGTGGGGGTGACCACAAGCACCGCACACAGGGGGCCTTTCTTTCCTTCAGGCACTATCTGTCCACGCCCGCAGCCCCGTGCGTGAGAAGGTGGGAGAACACTCGTGCTTGTGTAGCAACCTCCAGTCTAACAGCTTTGTCACCCCACCACCTCAGGCAGCGTAGTCTTCTGGGGATGCTTGCAAAGAGGGAGCCAGGGGGTGGGGGCAGGACACAGAGTGGTCAGGTTTGGGGCTCCAGGCTCTTGCCCTGCTCCTCACCACCGGCCTCATCACCAGAAGACCCAGCGCTTCAGTCCAGGCTGGAGGAGCCACGTGATTGGGTGGGCATGGCCGCCTGGACACTGACGGCAGTGGGAAGAGCCTCAGTTCCCTCCCAGCCTTTGTTCTCTTCACGTCCGAAGAGACAAGACACCAGCAGGCATGTGTGAGCAGGAACCTGGCCGCCTCCTCTGGACCCACAGCTCGGGGCTCCACATCGGGCCTGTCCAAGGCCTGAGCCATGAACACAGAGAAAGGCCCAGGATCCCACGTCCGTGCTCTACAGAGTGGCCTGGACTGGGAAGTGGGCAATGGTGTAACCTTCTGCATCAAAACTCCGAGTTTGCTGGAGATGAAGCCAGACCTTTTCAGCTGGAAGGGCTGAGGAGCTGTGCTTTGTGCGCCTCATGGTGTGTAAAGGACAGAGCGCCATCCCGCTGGACGTCACCCTGCGGGCCCACACTGGCAGCCACAGCCAGAGACACCGCTCCCCGCACACCTCAAACACTTCCTTCCTTGGCAGCAACACCCCGGTGTAAACTCCAACTCAACAAACACAAACATGTACTCCCAAGGCCGACAGCAAGGAGTGATAATGACAGTGAGAGCCAACCTAGA